AAAATATAATTTAAGAACAGAAAAAAAATTAAAGATTTGTTAGAAACTGTCAAAATCCTGTGTTCCATCTTACCCATAAGGACCAATATTGGGTCCTCAAGCTATTGCTCTCAACCTTTTCTACCCATAATACAAGCAGAAAATTGTATTTACACAGTCACTCAGGTAAGTGGAAAAGACAAGTCTCTACCCCCTTCATTCCAATAAGAGGATCAGTGCTCAGGAGACCTTTGATTAACTGGGACCACACCAGTGCACTGTGGCACCCAAGTCAGCAGTCCACCTTACAGACAGCATAAGGCTGCTGGGCCTCACATCTGAAAAATATGCTTCCTCAGATAAAGGGTGTAGCGTACTACAGCAGACATAAAGACTTCAAAAACAGCCAAACAGCATGTCTCACCCTGATTACAGGTCAGTAGAAACCGAGGGCATAGTGAAGGGAGGACTAACAGGACACAAGAAGTGGAAAGAACTCTGAATTCAGTCGGATATTCACACTACCGACCAACCAAGCTCTTGATAAAAACTGGGAAGCAAGCAGTTGAAACTTAGGAGTGTCAGTGAAGACTCAGATTCCTACACCCTTCACATTAGCTGAGCAGACAGTAAGGAGGCCTGACCGTAACTTCAGACTGGACTTGTCATCCCATCACACCAGGTAGGTGCAGAGGTGACAAAGGAAGTCATTTACCACTATGCTTGATATGGCTATTGATTTGTAACCACCTTCGAAAAAATGACTTCTGTTTTGCTTTGGGGACAAACTCCCACTTAGGAGCCAAGTAAATTTCACCCACCTAGCCAGGCAACAACAGAGCCCACAGTGGTTTTCCAGCTGTCTAACACAGCCCAGCCCGAAGATTTCACTTCCTCCAGCCTCCTAGTCACTACATCTTTGGCAGCCAAAGTGACTTACCTGTCCTCTATTCTCAGGAGAGAAAGTGGCAATAAAGTTCAGCGTGACACCCAATCTTCACACAGAGAAAGAATAATCTCCACCCTCTGCCACCTGGGTTTACACTCAGATTTCTGTTTGACCCCAGGCATGGCAAACCTATTTCGTAAATCTAACCATGAAACCAACCATGAAAATAGGAATGCTTGTTCTTTTCCTTGCTTTTTCTCCGTAGTGTGATGCAGATGTGTTGACTGAAATATTATAAGAACTCTGGAACAAATAATCACATTTATTGCTGCAACTAAAATCTCAACTCAGTATTCTGAGGAAGGCCTCTCTCTAGTTTGCAAATTAAGATAGGGTCCCAGGTGGGCAGGTTGTAAACTGATAATAAGTGTCACAGGCAATTATGTAGCAGCGATTATATTAGCTACACGCAGAGAATATTTTGTTTTGAAAGGATATTCGATAAAGAGTTGCTCTGAATTCTCAATTGTCCATAAAATCACCTAGTTTGTAAGAAACTACAAACCAAGTCAGCAGTCACCCCAAATTCACTAGAGGGGCTGAGAGTATAGCTCTGTGACAGAAATGTTCTTACTCTCAGTAAGACTGTGGGTTCAATCCTTAGCACCAAAACAAAATCAGAACAAAAACGTTAGAGAATAGGGTTTAAAATGGACTTTCTTCAGAAGTCTCTGTGACCATGTCCCCATCACGCTACTCCCCTGTCACGGTTCTGCCTCCCCCAGACTGTGCACAGCATGGAGGTGGAGACTCAGTGCTGTGTTAACCCCTGTGTTCTTAATCCCTTGTAAAGTGCGGTTAGGAAGAACACTCAACATTTGTTGGGCGAATTGTACAATGAAAACAGAGGTTAAAAGTATTACTTTCTGCTTTCCTTCTTTATATACTGTCACTTTTCCCAGATTACGTTCAGCTCAACACCACAGTGGCATCAATAGGGTCGAGGCTCAGTCCTTTCTCTGTTAAAAGCACACAGAATCAGGAGAAATTAAAAGATGAGACCCAGGAGGCACACAGTCAAGGCAGGGATTGGTCACAGATTTGCAGCTACAGCTAAGGGAAAGCCACTGTGGCACACCGAGCCTATCTATCCAGTAGGAGTGAGGAGTCTCTCTCAAACTGCAAGGCAGACGCCCAGCCAGGCTCAGGGTGGCAGTAGGAAGATCAGGAGCAGGAGGAAAACCTTCAGGCACCTGCTTAGGCCTTCTCTTCCTGTGAAGGGGAGATGTACAGTCCCTGGTTCTTCCTTTCCTGCATACCAGCTTTCACTGTGTATCTGCTCACAGAGCTGGAGCCTAACAACTCTTGGATTATATATTCCTGATTCAGTAGGAACAGCCTAGGCTGAAACTAGCACCTTGTGGTCCAAAGGCTACATCCCTGAGAAAACCATACTGTCTCAATGGCAAACAGCCTTAAGCAGGCCAATCTGGTTTTTCCTGGTTTCCTTTCTTCAGGGGAAGGAGGAGAGGCTTAGAAAAGACAAAGAGTAAGACTTTCCAATGTGCTAATGTTTATCTTGAAGTGCCTGCTTTCTCTTGTTTGCTAATCCCTTCAGGGGTTACTCAGCCTCTTCACACCCTGCTTTTCAGGCTGACTCTTGTTTTAAACTCTGCCTTCACTAATTCTTTCTTAAACAATGCCTCCAGCTCTCTTCCCAGAGTTACCAAACATCTACTCTGCTGCTAAGAACATAACAAATACAGTATTTAAAAGGTATTTTAAGGCACACATGTTAGCAGACACCTATAATCCCAGTTCAGTACTCTGGGAGGCTGAGGCAGGAGGATCACAACTTCAAGCCCAGCTCTGGCAATTTAGCAAGTTAGTGAGACTCTGCCTCAAAAAATAAAAACAGGGCTGAAGACGTAGCTCAGTGCAAAAGCCCTGGGTTCAATTCTCAGCACCTTAAATACGGAAGGTGTATTTTAGTGGACGAAATAAATATGCCATATTTTTAAATGCTCAAAATATTTTCTTCTGTATTGGGAATATTTCTAATTATTTACTAGTGTAAACATGCAACATGGTTACATCTGTCTTTTGCCCATTTTATAGCCTCTCAATTTATACACTTCCTTTTTTACTTGTTTTATAATACACATTGATAGGGCTTTCGGCACGATAAAAGGGAGAATATAAAGTAAAAAACAGTCTTTATTCTAAGGATGTGAGAGAACTCCACGACCACCGGGGCCTGGCTTTCTCTGCTGGAAACATGGGGCATGGGACATACATAAAATTTCCGATTGGGGTGGCTTACTGCAGTATTGAGCAGCCAATTGGAATTTTCTTTAGGCACAAACAGGAGCTGGGGAAGAAGCAGGAAGTGGTAGGCGGTCCGGCTTTGGCCTTCTGCCTCATTAGACCACCGCCATAATTTCCACTGAGGCAAGAACCTTTCACACATAACCATTATATAAGCATAATAGCGCATAACCTCTGGACAAAATTTATCAATAAAACACTGCAAAACAGTCCCCAAGAAACGCAAATCTATTTCAGGTTCTCTAACCAAAGAGTAGCTTACTTCCTTCTCAATAAGATTACGTCTCTCTCAGATTAAACAAAGCCTATATTCTTGCTCAGAGGTTAGTTACTAAGTCATATCAACACATAAGATTCCTAAGAACATAAAAACTAATTTCTGAGCAACTGTGAAGAACAATATTTTCCCCCTTTTATCTATGCACCATCAGCAGAAGCATCCAACAATGAAATTTACAGAAATCATTTCATCTGCTACCAACCTTGCTGGGTGATAGCCTTTCCTCTCTCTCTTGTTAGATACTGTGTCAAGAAGAAGCAAATCAAAGAAATATCAGAAAATGTCACTTAAAAATTGGGGCAGAAAATCAGAGAATTGTTTCCTTTTTGTTTTCCTACACTATTATCACAGCCATCACTTAACAAGTTCATCTTTTTTGATGAACTTGTTTAGGCCCTGTTATGTTGGGCCTAAATCTTGTAACAGTGTGTATTGGCAGCACAACTGTAAAGAGAAAATCTAGTAGTCAAAATTCCAAGAAGTGTCTTCTTTCCAGAAATGAATACTTGCCTCAACTTTGTGGCTGTCACCTATTTACTGTAAATTCTAAAGCCATGCAAAGCTCCAAAGATAATTAGAAAATCACTGAAAGCCACTGCATTTTTAATAATTTGTTCATAAACAGGCAAAATTATTATGAGCATTCTTTTGTCAGAGGCACAAACTTAATCACATCTATAATTTAGCATTAATTTATCTGAGTTGTATATAGTGGCATGTACTTCTAATACTGGGATATACACACCCAGGGATGAGGGGTATACACACAGCAAGCCAGAGGCAATGAGCCCAAACAACAGACCTAGAAGATTTTCCTAGAGTGCCAATTTTTAATTAAGGTTTGAAGAGAAAGAAGAAAAATGTATAATGCAACTGATAATGAATTTAAATAATTTTACACTAAAATAAACATGGAATAGAACTTAAAACACTAGATAGGAAGAAATTTGCTAATTTGAGGGGCTAGTTATCTACCTATAAAGGAACTTTTGCCAGTGGGACAGTCTAAGAAACACTGCTAAGTGAAGTGTTTAGGGTTGCTGGATCCTTTAAGAACTTGGGCAATTGAGATCCACTTCTAATCAGAATGTTTTAATCCTAAGCAAAGTCTTTTGAAAACTGAATGTTCAATGTTGAATGTCTTAAATTTCAACAAATGCTGTAACAATAATGCAAAGACATATTTACTTTACAAATGTAATCACTGGACAAAATTTTGAATTGTCTAAAGACATACTTTCCAAAGCAGCTGAACAAAAAGTTGGAAACAAGAACTGCTGCAATCAGACAGCCTATGTGCTATAGTCCTTCTCTCATTAATTTTATTCAGATACTATGAATATACAGTCAATTTCAGGACAGTTTTATTTTACATAGAGCTTTAGAAAATCTAAAATGATTTAAAGTGGCACTTATCATTATAATTAGACTTTCCTACTAAAGAGGGAAATAGAGAAGGCAATCTAGGAAGGAAGAGCAGTTGGAGTAGAGGTCTGGTTTGCAGGACAGAAACCCAATACTTACAAGGCATTGCGTGGTATATGCTTGGCCAGTACTGTCCGCTGTCTCTCTTTAACCAAACACGAACTGTCCTACAACAGAAGAGAAAATGTGCATGAAATCACAGCATTTTAGTCATGGAAGAATGGTGAGATACATAAAGCAAGTCTCTTAACATAGCATAATACTGTATCTTAACTACATTTAATAGCTATGTAGCTTCATCATATATAATATATATACCCTCTCTAAAAACTCTAGTCCTTAAATTTAAGGACTTTTGTACATAAAATTGCACAACTCTTTAAAGCTCTTCCTCATATATGTACTTGTATACACACACATCTAATTGTGATAGTGTTAGAAAATTACTTTTATTGTTTTGCTTTTTCAAGTGTCTAACCATTGCCCTTATCACTAGTAATTTCCTGAGGAATCTCTAGGTTTTACTAATAAAATGCAGAGATCAAATGAACTAGGATGCAGCATCTGACACTAACAGAATTACACAGCAAGACCATAATCATATGAGCCACTTATCCTAAGGGACACTTTTTCCTGATCAAGATATGGTAAACTCTGAGAATCAGGGGGCCCCTGTGGAGCAGGTAATTCTGAAGCAAAGGCTGGATGAAATGGCAGGTCAGTAGACCTGAAAGACACAAAGCACCCATGAGAACAGAAGCCAAACACACTGAACTAGCTGGGGAGTACCAGCAAGTTCTAACCAACCAAAAGGGCCAACCACGAGTTACACTGGTCATGCCATCGTCAGCATACATCTGCAAGGTAAACATAGCAAGCAGGCTAAGGAACGTTAGAGACCCGAGGAGATAGTGCACATAAAAACTGAAAGAAACACTCAAATAACCAGGAGATCATAGAGGCCACACACTTTATTCTACACCGTTAAGCTACCCTTGGAGTAAAAAACACATTACATTTATCTCAGATTGCATTTATCTCGGACAACAGGACATCTAAAAAGATTATTTAAGTCATCAGTTTTAAATTGTGTTGGATCCTTACACTCCCATCTATCCAGTAAGTTTCTTATAAACACAGTCATACTTTGGTACCGGAATGCTTTGAAATTCGCTGAATTTAGACTCAAAAACTTTGTCTTCTGTTTAGTACTTGATGCATAACGTAGAACCTGTATGACTGCCTCTTGATTTACTAACCTTTCCAGCCAAAACAACTAATTGGATACTCATAGTTTTTGGTTCTTGTGTCTTCTGAACAATGAACGATGAGGACCTAGGTACCACTGCAGCAGGAGAAACACTAGACCAGTTACATACACAATAAAATGCCGCGTTCTCTGCACAACCCCAAGTTGTGAAGTAATAATAGTGGTTAAAGAATAAAAACATTGCCCCTAAAAATCAGAAACGAGAATGCCCTCTTTTGTCACTTGTTATCCTGTACTATTTGAAATCCTACTTGGGGTAATCAGACAAATAAAAGAAATAAAAAGCATCCAAGATAGAAAAGAAGTTAAACCTACTTCAGTTTGTGGAAGATACAATTGTACTTATGGGATATCCTAAAGAATTCATATATGCTTATCAAAAAATGCCCTACTAAAAGTAAGAAATAAATTAAGCAAAATTGCAAGGTACAAGACTAGCAAACAAAATCTAGTGGTATTTCTTTCTAATAGAAACAAAGTTTTCTAAAGAAATAACAGCTCCTGATACACCTCTACACATACCTGAAACCCTCACTGCATACAGACCTTCCAAAGCAACTTGTATCAAGGGCAACTGATAAATGTTTACAGTTAAAATAAAATTATAAAAAATCTGTTACTTTTACTTCCTATGACATAACAGCTGCTTATAAAAGAAAAAAAAAAAAGCACATCCTAGAGATAAAGTATAATTTGGATGGCTAGAAATGCCCTGAATACATGAAAACTCTACAATGATTAGAAGTTTGAAATGTTTTGAAAATTATATTTAAAAGGCAAAACACAAAAAGCTTTTAATAGTAAATTTCCTTAAAAAATTTTTCACAAAGTAACAACTGTGGCTGAAGGTGTAGCTTAGCTTGTGCTTAGTATGTGCAAAATTCTGGGTTTGAAGGAGGTGGGAGGGAGGAGAGAAAGGAAGGAAGAAAAGGAAGATGAAGAAAATAACTGATTAACACATACATTTAAACTTGGCATGGTGGCTCACGTCTGTAATTTCAGCATTTGTGAGGCCGAGGCAGAAAGACTGCCACAAGTTCAAGGCCAGCCTGGAGTATGAGAGACAGGGAGAGACAGAGAGACAGAGACAAAGACAGAGACAGAGGGAGAGACAGAGGAAGGAGAGAGACAGAGAGAAAGAGAGAGAGGGAGCAGGAGCAGGAGCCAGAGAGAGATATTTAAACTAGCAGAGGTCACCTTACTGGGGAAGATGCACGCAAACCTGCTGAAACACAAGGCAAGTGCCCACTCCATCAGGCTGGATGAAGTAGGCAGTAATGGACAAGGTATGGCGTCTGGAGTTAGCCAGTACCAGAGAAAGCCTTTTAGAGAAGAAGGACTTGGAATGCAGGACGAACAGGCTTCTGTCAGCACAAAGTGGAGCAGGGATAGGAGCACATTCTTGCTGGTGCAGCACCAGAGGAGATGAAAGAACAAGCAGCCATGTGAGAAGCAGACCTGGTCACAGGAGCAGGAAAAGGCCACTGAGGGCCTTGCAGGCCATGTAGAAGAGAATGAACTTTGCTCTGAGGGAACTGGGAGCTACTGATATTAAGGAACCAATCATAAAATCATTATTTACTTTTCTATTTGTTTGTGGAGAGCTCAGAAAGACCCAGTAACTCTAAAGTAATGGGTCTGGAGGGTACGGCCTGTTAAACCAGGCCCAAAGATAAGGGGACTAAGGCAGAGCACTTGCCAACACCCAGTACAAAAAAAAAAGGAAACCGTAAGAAAGACAAACAGATGAGGGCCTAAAAAACTAATCTGAGAGCATTCATAAAGTTAAACATGGGATCTGGGCAATGACTGGCTTGAGGTGCTGTGTGGTGGTATAATTCACTAATAAATGATTTTTGTGAAAGGCACATTGAGTTCATCTTTAATATGCCTGAGTTTGGACACAGCCTATTCAGGGCTATTGTGAAATGAACAACCTACCTAGGGTTCAGGAGTGAGACCTGAGCTGAAAATGAAGATCTGGGAATCGCAGTACTTAAGCTGTGGGTATCAGTGAGTAAGAAGAAAAGCAGGCTAGCAGCAAACCATTGAATAGCATCAATAGCCAAGCGTTGTAGAGAGACCACAAAGTGGACCAGAGAGACAGAACAGTCCTTCTCTAGACACAGAATGTGTCCTGGTTTTTGGTACAGAAAATAAAATCATTATCATAAACATACAGGTCACTTTCTTGGGAGAACAGAGAAGGTTGGGGGTGGCGACAAACACTATACCACAGGTTGCTAAGCTACTGAATAAAATAAGATGAAGCATCTATCCATGGTGAAATCCAGGCTTTTTAAAATCTGCCCTAGAATGATGCAACCTTCATTAGTTACCATAGTGATGAGCTTCATTTCCTAAGGGACAATTGTTATTTTGCCACCAACGAAGTAACTTGGGGTGAGGGGTGGGGTGAATCCCACTGTTTCAAAGACGAATTTCCAGGGAATAGTACTCTAAGACAGCACACACTACAACAGTGATATAAACAAAAAGAACCAGACGCCAGCAATCTGCAAACTAATAGAAAAAGTTTGTGCAATAGGGTGTCAGTTAATGTGGGTTTTCCAGGTAGTTTTTATGGTGACTGCTTTGAAGGGCAAAAGATGTTTCTAATGCAGAGAATGCTGCAGGGATTATTAGAAAATATAGTTGATTACCACCTCTCCAAGTTTATTTCTCTATTACTTGCTTTCTCTGATTTCTGTGTTGCTCCCAATAAATGCACTCAAATCACTTTTAGTAAGTAAATGAAATCCAATCTACCATACTCTGTGTGTCTTTGGTAGCTAGGGATCTCCCCCATGGATAGACGGAATTGTTGTATAGAAAACACCAGAACATAGCTCCTTTCAACTGTTCAAATTAGTCCCTGCTACAGCAGACAAAAACAACTTTGCTGACTCAAAGACACCTGAGTTTCTTCGTCTCAATGTTGTAGCTGAAAGGGTTTTGGCCCAGACAGGACACCCTAGCCGGTAAAGCCTTAGAGGCAGAACCAAGGAGCTCCTATCTTCCCCACCCCTAGGAATTTACCTGTGACTCCTATCTCCCTCACCCCTAGGAATTTACCTCTGGTGCCAAACAAAGACCACCGGGCTACCTGTGCATCCCTGATGCCCCCTTAGGTTCCACCCCAGGCTGAGGCTACTTATGTGCCTCACTCCACGTGTTCCATGGAGAGATCCCTACCCCGGGGTGGAGATGCCACGCTCCAGGGGATTGGGGGTGTCTCTCCCTGCATTCTCAAAATAAAGGTCATTTGTATTTCATACTTCTTATCTTTTCAGCCGCCGATCCCCCACAGTTCTATCATATGGTTCCCTGACCAGGAACAGCAGATGAGAGACTCCTGGGGCTGATTCCCAGTTTGAGTCCCCTGCTGTTCAGGACCAGGACCAACCGGACTGCATCCTGCATTAATTCCTCACTTCTACACTCAGGAGCTGTAAGCTTGTTGCTGGTGGTTCGCAAACAACACCGACCCAATTTACCACAGGTGAACAACTCCCAGAGATTGCCACTGGGCCAGGCCCCAGGCAGGTTTTTTCCCCCTTTCCGTGGGTTTCCGTGACACCCTCACGTCCTTAAGACAGCCCAAGACAAGGTCTTTGTGGGCAACCTGTGTCCACACTGGAGGACTCTCATGTCCTTTGGGTTTGGATAACCCAAGGCAGAGTTTTCCTGGGCCAACCCACACTGAGAGACTCTCACATTCTTCAGAGCTTTTTAAGTTCTCATGGGCAGAGCTGTTACTAGATCCACGTGAAGTCCACTCATAATATTGGTGATGGCCAATTATTAGGAGTTTTGGAGCCATATAATAACTGATCGGTCTGGAGTGCAAGGTGACGACTTTAAATTTGGCAGACCACGGTCCGTTGCCTCATCTGG